AAGAAGAGGAAGAGGAAGAAGAAGAAGAAGAGATGACAACGACACAGTGTATGGGGAGTATGCTGTTAGAGACCTCTCCCAAGTGCTTACAGGTAACAATGTCAGTTTGAAGACTAAGCTGTGCCTGAACCAAACCATAACCTTTTCAATTACTTGCTATTTTAGCTGAAAGTTAGACAGTAAGGATGATAGAAGAAGAATTGATACTTTTGCTGTTGGAGAACAGCTGAATATCCCATGGACTGCCAAAAGGACAAACAAATAAATACGTCTTAGAAAAGGTGTAGCCAGGGCTCCTTTAAAGAAGGATAGTGAAACTTCATTTTACATACTTTTAGCATGTTGTTAGGAGAAGGGAGTCCTTGGAAAAGGACACTGTGCTTGGAAAGGTGGAGGGTCCGTGAAGGAGGGGAAGACCCTCAACGAGATGGATTGATGCTCGAGTATGTCAGAAGACGGTCAAGATGGCACAGGATAGGGCAGGGTTCAAACCCACTGTTCAAAGGGTTGCTAAGAGTCAATCGAATTGACAGCACTTAACAACAAGTACATGAGACTGACATCAGCAACTTGAAATATAAGAGCCTTGAGGGCTGGTGAGTTTATGTTATTGGGGAAGAGCTAGTTTAATCACCCTTTAAGAAATTACATAAAGCCAGATGGTACATTGCTATTTTAAAGCATCGATATGCAGGTTGGAAGCAAAGACTAAGTAAGTGGGAGTAAAACACCTGGAACAGAAATTATGAGCACACTAACAAAGTGTGAAAACATAACCACTATACTAATCATTATGTCTAGAAATTGTAGAATGAGAGTGTGTTTCACAGCGTGTACTTTCACCAAAAATAAAAAGGTCTCTTAACCAATATGAGATATTTTCCATCTCTCTTTGTTGATGTCCTTGTTGTATGCCATTAGGCTGGAACTGACCCACGACTGACCCTCCAGCAGGTTTTCAGAAGCAGGAAATCACTCAAGAGGAAACTGCCAATCCTTGGAGCAGCTAGCTGGTGGATTCAAACTGTGTGCCTTGCAACTTCTTACCACTAGGCCACCAGAACTCCATCTCTCTTTTAGGAATAGTTGCTGTAGGTGACACATTTGGATGAGGATACACTGAACTGCTCAGGAATGTTGGGGATTTACATACTGAGAAGTTTGGCTCAACGCATATTCTGAAATACTCTTCTCATATGTGTCAACTGACTTCCAAAAGGGGCCTTATAAGCCTAGAGAATGTAGCAGGGCTTCAAACCAGCTCATTCCATTTCAAACTTTATGGCGATCTTGTGAAAAAATGTAGATTCTGAATCAGTATATCTGGGGATTTCAACTCATTGCCAACAAGTCAGACTCGACCTTCTACTGGTTTTCTGAGGCTGCAGGTCACGAGAGGAAATTAGGGAGGAGACTGTCCATTGTTCCCCACCTTGTGAGTTCAAATCACTAGCGAAAGCATGGCCTTTGGGTTAATGGCACAACTTCCCATGGACTATATCACTAGCTGTTATTGTTAGGGGCCCTTGAGGTAACTATAACTCATAGGGAACTGATGAACAACAAATGTGAACCTTTTCCTATCCTGACCATCCTCACCACCTCCGTTATGTTTGAACCCGCTGTTAAAAGCACTGTGTCAATCCATCTTGTGTCTTGTGAAAAAGGGTCTTCCTCTCTTTCTCGAAACCTCTACCTTTCCCAGAATGAAGTCTTTTTCAAGGACTAGTCCCTCCTGACAACATGACCAAAGTTATGTGAGATGAAGTTTCACCATCCTTGCCTCTAATGAGCACCTTGGTGGTACTTCCTCCAAAACAGACTTATTTGATCTTTTGGAAGGCCATGGGATATTCAGTACTCTTCTCCAAAACCACAATTCAAAGACACCAATTCTTCGGTCATTTTTATTCACTGTCTAACTTTCAGAAGCATAAGAAACAACTGAAAATAGCATGGCTTGGATCAGGCACACCTTAGTCTTTAAAATGACATCCTTGCTCTTTAGCATTCTAAGGAGGTCCTTGACAGATCTTCCCAATAGAACACATCTTTTGATTTCTTGACTGCTGTTACCAAGGCTGTTGACTGAATCCAAGTAAAATAAAATTGTTGACAACTTCAATCTTTTCTCTCTCATGTTGCCTACTGGTCCAGCGGTAAGGATTTTTGTTTTCTTGATGTTGAGTTGTAATCCATATTGAGGCTGTAGTCTATGGTAGCAAGTGCTTCAAGCCCTCTTTACTTGCTGCAAACAAGGTTGTTTTTTCTGCATTAGGCTGGTTGTTGCTGAATCTTCCTACAATCGGATGCCATATTTTCTTCATCAGATCTTGATGCCACATTTTCTTCATATAGTTCAGCTTCTTGAATGATTTGCTCAGCATACAGATTGAATAAATATGGAGAAAGGAGACCAATGGAATTTGTAGACAAGAGGTCCAGCGACTCACCCAAGGCCAGAGAGTGAGTACACAATGGGCACTGTTGTTGTTAGGTGAAATTGAGTCAACTACAACTCAGTTGTCCCCCTCAGTCTCCCCTATGAACAACAGGCTGAACCTGCCCTGCCCTGCCCTGTGCCATCCTTACGGCCTCTGATATATTTGATCTCATCATTCTAGTCACCATGTCCATCGGTGAGGTCTTCCTCTCTTTCTCTGACTCTCCACCTTTGCCAGTATGAAGTCCCAAGTCCCACACTCCTTTGTGCATACCTTTTGTGCCTATTAGCTCCACAAATGGTCTGACCAGCAATTGATTCTATAACCTTGGGGAAATGAGGTCCCCTCTCGTGAGCCTTGGTTTCATTATATGGAAAATATGAGGTTCAGAAAAGATCTCCCCCAGAGCCTTTTAACCCTGACATTGTAAGAGGCTCAAGCCAAGTTCCTTGAAACACAGGCAACATTTGTTGCTTATTTACCAACTGTTACATGTCTTACACAGGACAAGCTGTTAAATCTTCTATGATCCGGGGGAGCTCTGGTGGCCTAGTGGCAAGAAACTGCACTGTAATCCCAGAGACGCACGGTTCGAATCCACCAGATGCTCTGCTCTGCCGGAGAAGGAGGCGCAATATCCTCCTGTACCAGTCAGATCTGATTTGACGGTACACACACACAAAATAAAAAAAAATTTAAAAAAAAAATCTTCTATGATCCTATTCTATAGATGAGGCTTGATGAGACCAAATGACCTACCCAAGGCCACTACAAAAGTCGGAGACAGATTTGCGTGGTGCCAGGCAAAATACAGATTCTTATTCCACAACTGTTGGGCAGTTGGGTAGCCAGCACATGTTTATCTTTCTCCAGCTGCCAAATGCCTCACTAACACCTGCATGGCTTCAGAGCCCTCTACGGCTTCACTCTTGGGCTGGTGGGCAGCAGGGACCCTGCTTCCTCTTCGTAGGTGGGGAAATGAGCAATCTCAAGTCTTTGGAAATATTCTTTGAACATCTACTGTCCTAAGGCTGGTACTGGGGAAAGAGAAAATTGAGCTAATGGTCTAGTGTGGGGAACAGGAGAGCCCCCAGGCTCAAAGTAATAAGGGCAGAGACCTAGAGGTGCGCACACACAGGGAGGCCAAGCTCTGATTGCTCAAGGCAGGTCCCCAACAAGGCCCCAGGCGCAGTGCCCAGCTAGTCGCCCTTCTCTCCCAGGAGGCTCCCTGTTACGGTGCAAAGAGCACTGGGTGACAGGAGACCCAACTCCCAGGCCCTGGGCCGCCACACAACGGCAGGTGCCACGACCTAGGCCAACTCGTAGCCCCTCTCCCCTCTCGGCCTCAGTTGCCCCACTTGTATTATTCATAGCAATGTGTCTTGTACCAATGGCCCTTGGGGGCTGTCCTCCATTGCTTCCTTGCGCTTATCCCCAGGACCAGACCATCCATTCCCGAGGATGGCGCTCATCCTTCTAGAACCCAATCTTTCACAATCTCTGGCACAGGCCTGGAGTGGGGGCTTCTCCCCCTGGCCTCGGCCCCCTTGCATTGTCCAGGACCCAGCCTTTGCCCTTCTCAACACCAGCGCCTTGCATTCTCCGCCCAGACTCTGGACCCCAATAAGACAAAGGCCATGCATCCCGACCTCTGTCACCTCCTCCATCCTCTGTCCGCACCCCTCCCCAGGCCAGAATCTCGCCCCTGGCCCTAACCTCTGGGGTCCCAGCACCCAGAAGAGAGCAGCCCCTCCCCCGGGCCCA